TTAGGGTTTGGGGTTTAGGGTTTGGGTTTCAGGGTTCAGGGGTTTCGGGAGAGCCTCCCCGTGGCCGGGGAGGTGGTTGCCCAGCCAGCTGGCCAGGGCCTCACCAGCCTGTGCCCGCGCGACTCCAAGGATAGGGGCTTAGGGTTTTGGGTGTTGAGTGTAGGGTTTAGGGTTTAGGGTTCAGGGTTTAGGGTTTAGGGTTTAGGGTTTAGGGTTTAGGGTTTGGGGTTTGGGGTTTGGGGTTTGGGGTTTGGGGGTTTAGGGGTTTAGTCGGGGTTTAGGGATTTAGGGTTTTGAGGGGGCTTGGGGGTTGAGCTTGGGGCTCGGGTTTGGGGTTAGGGTTTAGGAGTTAGTTAGGGTCTCTAAGGTTTTAGGAGTTAGTTAGGGTCTCTAAGGTTTTAGGAGTTAGGATTCAATCTGAACGTGTAGTAAGTAAGATGGTCTCCGTATCTCTCGTAACCTACTGCGGGTTCCATGACAGCAACAGGCCCGTATTTGAGGAATAGTTCTCCAACAGTGCTTGGCCCCTCCCTGTGATTGAAGGAATGCTCCCTGAACCCTAAACCCTAAACCCTGAACGCCCGAATCATTTGGGATCGTCTAAGTTCTTTATGGATCAGGAGGCTGAAACGTTAACCCTAAACCCTAAACCCTAAACCCGATAACCCCGTAACCCCAAACCCTAAACCCTAAAACGCTAACCCCAAACCCTAAACTCTAAAGCCTAAACCCTTAGGACCCTAGAACCCTTACATGCAACCTTTGGAACCTCCTGACAACCATGAACAGCGACAGGTCCACCTGTCGGATGCTGCCCGGGACCAGCAGGAAGGACGTCGGATCCTTCGGCATCAAGCGGGGTGAGTGTTCAGGGTTTAGGGTTTAGGATTTGGGGCAAAGGGCTTAGGGCTTAGGGTTTAGGGTTTAGGGTTTAGGGGTTGGGGCTTAGGGCTTAGGGTTCAGGGTTTAGGGTTTAGGGTTTAGGGTTTAGGGTTTGGGGCTTAGGGCTTAGGGTTCAGGGTTTAGGGTTTGGGGCTTGGGGCTTAGGGCTTAGGGCTTAGGGCTTAGGGCTTAGGGCTTAGGGCTTAGGGCTTAGGGTTTAGGGTTTAGGGTTTAGGGTTTGGGGCTTAGGGCTTAGGGTTTAGGGTTTGTGGCTTTGTGGCTATGTGGTAGCCTTGCGCGGCTGCCGAAACGCCACTCCGCAATCAAGCTTAAGCTTTCCGTTGGGGTTGTTGCAGGCCAATGGGCCGAGAACGAGGGATTTGCCAACATTCGGGTACCTGTCTCGGTGCTGGTGGCTAGGGGGGAGCGCTAAACCCTAAACCCTAAACCCTAAACTCTAAACCCTAAACAGGGGGGGGGGGGGGGTAGCCCGACTTTGGTAAATACCGAATCAGGGTCCGAACGACAAAGGTACTAGCTTGCGAGCCCTCAGGACCCAAGACCGTTGATGCTTCAGGGTTTGGTGTCTTACCCTAAACCCGAAACCCTGAACCCTAAACCCTAAACCCTAAACCCTAAACCCTAAACCCTAAACCCTAAACCCTAACCTTCAGTGCTTTGGCTGAAGGAATCTTGCTTCCGGGCTAAGGGAATAGGGACTTCGGGTGTAAGGGGTTTGGTTCTTGCTCGCAGCAGTGGCCCGACCATAAACCCTAAACCCTAAACCCTAAACCCTAAACCCTAAACCCTAAACCCTAAACCCTAAACCCTAAACCCTAAACCCTAAACCCTAAACCCTACACCCACCCAGTCCCACACCACTTCGTCCAAGGCTCGTGGCCGCCGGGCTCTCCAATCAGATGCAAACCTGCACAGAGCTGCAGTTTTCCGGTTCCGGAAGTGGACCTGGGGTTTAGGGTTTAGGGTTTAGGGTTTAGGGTTTAGGGTTTAGGGTCTAGGGTTTAGGGTTTAGGGTTTAGGGTTTAGGGTTTAGTTGGGTTTACCTGCAACCCCAAGCTCTGCAGATTCGTAGGCTGCAGCCCCTTCTATAAGCCCGGAAGCCACAGATCCCAAACCCTAAGCTCAAGGTCATTTTTAGGGTTTAGGGTTTAGGGTTTTAGGGTTTAGGGTTTAGGGTTTAGGGTCTAGGGTTTTGGGGTTTGACCACGGGAATTTATGGAGTTAACAGGCATATATTTGGCGAAAAAACTCCCCCCATAATCCCAAAAAATGCAATGCAAACTATTTCCAAAGTACCTATTCCATATACCCAAAGTACCTATTCGAATCAAAGCGGCCCCTAAACTCCCCTACCCTAAACCCTAAACCCTAAACCTTAAACCCTGACCCTAAACCCTAAACCCTAAAGCAGTGCCTTCAGGGTTTGGGGTTTTGGGGCTTGGGGTTTCAGGTGCCTAAACCTGAACCCTAAACCCTAAGCCTAGACCCTAAACCCTAAACCCCACACCCTGAACCCTAAACCCTAAACCCTGAAGCCTAAACCGACAGCTTGCTAGCCAAGCAGCTCTGCTGGAGCAGCCCGCCCTCAGCCACACAAGGCTACAGGGCTGGGGCTCAGCAATCGGGCGGCGGCTTTGGGGCTTTCGGGTTAGGGTTTAGGGTTTAGGGTTTAGGGTTTAGGGTTTAGGGTTTAGGGTTTAGGGTTTAGGGTTTAGGGTTTAGGGTTTAGGGTTTAGGGTTTAGGGTTTAGGGTTTAGGGTTTAGGGTTTAGGGTTTAGGGTTTAGGGTTATGGGTTTAGGGTTTAGGGTTTAGGGTTTAGGGTTTAGGGTTTAGGGTTTAGGGTTTAGGGTTTAGGGTTTAGGGTTTAGGGTTTAGGGTTTAGGGTTTAGGGTTTAGGGTTTAGGGTTTAGGGTTTAGGGTTTAGGGTTTAGCGTTTAGGCTTTAGGGGTTGGGGGAGTTAGGGACGAAGCCCCAAAGACTTGCAAAACAACATGCGTGCGAGCGCTAAACCCGAAGCCTCGACCTAAACCCACAGAAACCCAAAACCCTAAGCCTCAAGCCCTAAACCCTCAACCCTCTAGGGCTTAGGGTTTAGGGTTTTGGCTCCTAGTATTTGGTACAACCCTAGTTTAGGGGAGTGCCCATACGGAGACTTCTCTCAATTGCCGGTCTCTTTGAGTTCCTAGTACAATGCTCAGCCTCATGTGCCCCGAAACCCCAAACACTGAACCCTAAACCCTACACCCTAAACCCTAAACCCTAAACCCTAAACCCTAAACCCTAAACCCTAAACCCTTCTCATAAAATCCCAAAGATGACCGAGTCTAAGCCACTTCTTGCACCAAGGCACGTGCACCATGGCCTCAGCCTGGGTGCCCGATGGCTTAGGTCGGAAGGTGCAAGGTTTAGGGTTTAGGGTTTAGGGTTTAGGGTTTAGGGTTTAGGGTTCAGGGTTCAGGATTCAGGGTTCAGGGTTTAGGCTTTAGGCTTTAGGCTTTAGGGTTTAGGCTTTAGGCTTTAGGCTTTAGGCTTTAGGCTTTAGGCTTTAGGCTTTAGGCTTTAGGCTTTAGGCTTTAGGCTTTAGGCTTTAGGTTTTAGGCTTGTAGGGTGAAGGTTCTAAGGTTTAGGTGTAGGGTTGAGAGTTGAGGGGTTGAAGGGTGCAGGGTCTAAAGGCTTAGGATAAGTCTTAGGTTTGACCCTAAGCCCTAAACCCTAAAGCCTAAACCCTAACCCCCTTTTGCGTAGCCACCCGAATTATACCCAACAAGCCCCAACACCCGCAACTCTCAACCCTAAACCCTGAACGCCCTAAACTGCAAAGATGCCTTCCCACACAAGCATGCACGAGCCGCTCTCGAACCCAAACCCGAAACACCAAACCACAGACTCTGAACTTCAAAGCCCTAAACCCTAAACCCTAAACCCTAAACCCTAAACCCTAAACCCCAATCCCCAAACCCCAAACTGAGGTCCCCTGCGTCGTGCCCGAGGCTGCAGTGTCCAGGTCAGGACAGGCTTGGGCCCCAAAAATCCGGCAGAGCCCCTGCCGTAGCCCCTTAATCCTAAACCCTAAACCCTAAACCCTAAACCCCAAACCCTAAACCCGAAATCCGCAAGCCCTAAACCCGAAACCTGCCGAACCAACAAATCTGCAGGTCTGCTTGCAGCAAGAAACCTTCGCTGGAGACTGAGTTCAGGGTTTACATAGGGTCTAGGGTTGAGGTACCTGCTCTTACAAGCCAAGTAGTTGTCGCTGAGCTCTAACTGGAGAGTGCAAATTTTGAGTAGGAAGATCTGACAACGACATGTAAGCCCTGCGCCCTGAACCCTACCTCGAAACTAACTCCGGAGAATCGAAACTTGCAGCCTAAGCCTGCACGATGTCTCGTGGACCCGAAAGACCTTCGACCTTCGATGCGAACTTCCGTCCTCTTTTCTGCCAAGGATCAGGGTTTAGGGTTTAGGGTTTAGGGTTTAGGGTTTAGGGTTTAGGGTTTAGGGTTTAGGGTTTAGGGTTTAGGGTTTAGGGTTTAGGGTTTAGGGTCAGCCTTAGCCATTGCAGAAACAAAGGCCTCTTTCCTGCACGCTGCTCCAGCCATACCGGTATCCCCCGAGAAAGACGCTGCTGACTCCTTGACTATTTTTTTGGCCTTTCAGGCACACAGCCATGCAGTCAGACGGGCTTCACACGGGGTGGAAAACAGTCGGTCTGGAGGGTTCAAGCAACCATCAAAATAGAACTCATCGTAGCAGTACATGCAATACCATGCGAGCAATGCAGTTGTATGTAGTCGTATCATCTTGTGCTTTCCAGGCACTGGAAGAACTCTTAGCTCGGAATCTCGTCCAAGATTCACCGGGGAGTGGTAGATAAGCCTGAACCGGGTCCTATCAAACGTGCTGAGCAAAGCCCAGTCGGTGAGGGCTTGTGGTTTTAAACCCACCCTCCGGGCTCTTGACTACTTCGAAAACGCGTCCATGCGAAGCTTCAAAAACTTGTCAAACACACCTGGCTTAAGGAGGCGTCCCCAAGGGATTTGGAGGCATCCCCAAAAACAAATTTAGGGCCCTTCGGCCTCACTGCCTCCTTCGGCCCTCACTGCTCCGTGACCACATCCATGAGTCCCCAGGTGCCGAAGTGCTCGATCGTCATGGCCAAGAAGGCGATGAAGCAGCAGGACGTTGCGAAGGCGTAGAAGGAGTAGTCCAGGCGAACCAAGGTCCCTGTAAACTCCCAGAGGTTGATACCGAACATGCGGTAGAGCCACATCTGCAAGGCGAGGAACACGACAACCTCGATCGCTACGGCGAGGCAGTTGCCCTGTAGGCCATCGTGAAACTCTGAGGCGGTTTCCAGCCGGAAGATACGGAAATAGGTCCGGTTGTGTTCTGCTGCCCGAAGAAGAGATGAGAACATCATGTAGAACACCGGAACGTAGAGCTCGCACATCTCCGTGCAAGCCAAACTCGCCCAGCCTTGCGTCAAGACCTTCAGCAGCCGAGCTTCTGCAGGACCTAGCTTGGGCCAGAAAAACAAGCTGAAAAACAGTCTTAGGCATAATCCTCTTAGAAAGCCAATAAGGGAAGACAACAAATATCCCAGAGGCCTGCCT